GGAGCCAGGAACACTGAGCTATGGGTGGAGCTGGGATCAGGAAGTCCTGGTGAGGGGGAAATAACCTGAAGTAACCCTAGCAGAGGACAGATGCACCTGAGGTTGGCAGCTGCATCCTGCCTTGGTGGTGACATACCCAAGTCCTGCCAAATGCAGAGTGCCCACCCTCCTCACTAACAGTCTGAGTCAGTCTCCCCACAGTGGGAGGGATGTGGACAGGCCAGTGGGGATAGACTCCCTGCCACAATGGCTTTCTCAGGAGCAGGGAAGAAGAAAGCTGAGCCACAGAAGGGCTGCTTCTGGGAGACCTCAAATGTCCATGTGGGCCTCTGGGCTTGTTCTGCCCTTCAGGTCCTGGGCCATATGCACAGGCTCCTGTCCAGGCTCCTATTCAGCACCTCCTGGGGCTGTAGCTCTGGCTTTTGTCCTGTTCTAGAGCCAGCACACAAGTGCACCTCTGCCTCTTCCCAGGGCAGAAGGGGACTCCTGGGTGGGGCTTGAGGGTCCTTGCTGTACTGTGATTGTCAGTTCCATGTAGCCAGATGGCTGACCTTAACTGGACCTGGGCCTGGATGTGGGGCTGAAGGGAGGCTACTGGGGAGCAATGAGGGGCAGTAGGGCCCCTTGAGGGGAACATGCCTCCAGAGAAGGGATGCCAGCCTGGGATGCTCAGCTAGATGGAGTCTGTGCCCTCAGGGTGGCTACAAAGGGCTCAGAGCCCTGGGGTTGGCTTCCTGGTTGATATCAAGTCTGTGCTGTGTTCACTGACACTGGAATTTGGGAAGATAGATGCCACAGGCTAGGCCAAGAATCCCTATGTGACAGGGTCCTGGTGACCCATGGGCTAGTTGAGGCACTGGACAGGCTCAGGGCTGCTGCTTGAGAAGAGACAGCCTAGTCAGGGGACATGTGGGCCCCAGCCAGAGGTAAGCCTTGAGGAGCCCAGCCTGCCTTGGGCAGCTCTACATGCAGGGCCTGAGGTCAGAGCAAGGCCTCGGGGGCCCCAGGCTGGGGTGGGTCTGTGGTGAGGCACAGCTGGTCCTTGTTGCTGCTATGAGCTACATCACTGTGGTAGCTAACAATATAATCCTCATCTTCCTCATAGAACAACCACAGCCTGAGGAGCCCTGACAATAACCCAGAGAGGCCCTGAAGGCGGGGCCAACAGGGAAGTTTCCTGGGTCAGGGAGAGTCAGGCGGGCTCATGACAGTCCAGGAATGGGACTGCTTTCCTTGGGGTCAGCAGCAGGCTGGGAGATACTCCTGTCTCCATCAATGCTAGTATCTTTCTCACTGGGTGAGCTCATCGTCCTCAGGTTCCCAGTTTCCAGCAGGGGCTCCTTGTGGTCCAAGTGACCCAGGGATCCCTCTCCAAGGCCTTGAGTGGGGATTGGGCTCAATGGAAGCACCTTTGCCTTGGGGGTACTAGGTGGAAATGGTTGGAGTGGGGAGTTCCTGGGTGGCTGAGTGCAGCTGCCTGAGCTCTGGCCCAGAGAGTCACCCTGGGGGTTTGGGCTGTTTCTGACCTTGATTCCAGCAGGAAGGGTAAGCGTGAAGATCCAGGCTGGGTCCCGCTCTTGTAGCTGGGCTCTGGGCAGCAGGGTGCAGGGGAAGAGGCCCAGTATTGGTGGGGTCCATGTGGCTGCCTCTGAGCCTCTCAAAGTTGGTTGGGGGGGGTCACTGGGGAGGATGATATATGTGACCTGAACCTGATGAGTGGAGGTAGGTAAAGTCTCTGCCCTCAGCTCTTCTTGGCATCTGAGAGTGTGGAGCCTAAGTGCTTCGGTGCCCAATTTTTTTGTCCTTCTTTTCTGGTCTTTTTCTTTCTTGAGACATGGTCTCACTATGCAGTTCAGGCTGGCCTCCAACTCGCAACAATACTGCTGCCTCAGCCTCCTGAGTTCTGGGATTACAGGTGTGTACCACCATGCCTGGTATCCAGTGGTTTTTGCTGCTGGGCTCATCATTGTTGCAGTTATCAGGGTACCACGAGGGGGGTTCTGCACAGAAAGCCCTGCCCATGCCAAATCTCAGGGATCTCAAATCGCCGGCCTTTTATCGGTTATCATGAGCAGGGGAGGGTGTTTAACCCAGCATTCCGAGTTTGTGTCTCCTCAGGAAAGGCCCTCAGAGATGTCCCCTGCACATGCAGGGACAGTTGGCAGAAAATGAGCCTGCCCCCAGGGACCACACATGTGTCCCTGCTGGGGTCCCCAGGGGACTGTGCTGGGAGTAGGAGCAGGTGCTGAGAGGGCAGCTAGAAGGCTTTGTCTTTCACTGTGGACCTGGGGCTCCCCAGTGGGCTACTCTGGGGAGGATGAGGAATGGTAAGACCCACAGAACTGCAGGTGCTCAGGGACAGTCCACATTTGGCTGATCCCTGGCTTGGTGTCTCTGAGAGAGAGCCCCAGGAAAGCAAGTGGGCATCAGGGAGGGCCATGCTGGGGGCCTGCCTTGGTGAACCCAGCTGACCACCTGCCCCTGACCTACCAGAAATATCCCTGGGTAGCTGATAGAGGTTCTCAAAGTCAGCATTGGGGTTCATGCTTGGTGTGTGGCACAGCATTTGTGGGGTGAGTGGAGTGCGTATTGATAGTGTAGGGTGTGGGTGGTACGAGTGTGGGCAATGGGTGTAGGGTGGGGTGCAGTCGGGTGTGGAGCATTGCCTGTGAAGATGGCAGGCAGTACTCATCGGGGCAGAACCAGGTCAGGGAAACATTCTTGTCAGGTTGCTCTTGCAGATGTGGGGGATATAGTATCCAGAAGTGGAGGCACTGACTGTCCCAGCTGAGGCCCCTGAATGCTCATTAACTTGAGGATGGGAGCTTGTGGAGCTGCTGGTCTGGTGTGGGTCTCACCCTGGGAAGGACATGGGACCTTCTTTCTCTGGGAGTGAGACTTGACTGGCTTTGAGGTGACTTTTCACTTCCTCATCATGATCTGCTAGGGAGGGGCAGGCTTGCTTGGTGGCCCCGGAGGCCAAGAATGTGGCCCTGATGCCACCTTGAGGGATGGATAACAGTTGCTGGCTGTGTAACCCCCACCCCATTATGAGGCACTGTTGAGAAGCCTGTGTGTGTGCTCAGTCATGCTCTCTGGGGATATTATGGTGGGGCCTTGGGGCTGGGTTTTTGATGGGTGCTATGAGGCTGTGGTATAGGAGATGCAAGCCAAACAATAATACCACAGTGACACAGACCCTGCCCAAATCCCACTCTAGAATGCAGCTGGGCAGTCCTCGGAGGGGTGAGAAGCTCCTAGAGAGCAGGATTGCCCAAGAATGATGCCCTTGTGGGGGTTGGGAGGGCACTTGGGTGGGGACAGTGGACACCCTCTAATGAGGGTTGAGTGCTGTCCACAGTTTCTTCCTGCGGGTGACCTGATGCTTGCCCAGCAGTGTCCTGGCATCCACCTCAAGTGGAGTTTGCCCCAGTTGGAAACAGGTGTATTGTGTTGTCCTTTCAGGTTGAGAACTGTCCCCAGACAGTGTATGAGTCACTCTGCGACCTTTGACCCTCCTAGATTGTCTTCCCAGGAAAGTCGAGCTGGGAGGAGTTGGGAGTCATTTCTGTGCCCACTGATCTAGGAGCCAGGATCCTGATGGTGCCCTTTGATCCTGGTGGGGCATGACAGGAGACACAGCCTCTCCCACCGGCTCTCATTTACCCTGTCCCAGCACCACGGCTTCAGGCCCTTCTCTACATGCAGCTGAAATCAACCAGCTACATAAGGCCTTCTTTCATGCCCCATAGCACTCTTTGAGCCCATTCAGAATCCTTGCCTTGTGTCTGCCCTACCTGGTCCACATGGGTGCTGTGATGCCTGGTGCTCTAGGTCCTTATGGGCTGCTGGGTGAATGTATTTTTCTGGCATGTCTGAGGGCTTGAATCTCTCCGTGTATCCCTTTGTTGTCTCTCTAGGCTCAGTGCCAGATCATGCACCTCTCTAGGGCTCAACTGCTATTTCCCAGGTGTTGCCATTCTGAGCCTTCTCAGAGCCATCTCTCTGGGGCTCGGGTGCTATGACTTGAGGATCTTCCTTTTCTCAGCTTTCTTTGCAGTTTTCCCACTACGGAATGTACTTCAGAGGAAAGGTTAGTTCTGCCTATTCTGCTTCCATGTCAGAGAGACTTTACTGAATGCGGGTTGTTTGGACTTGCTTTTCTTTTAACTTCTTTAATGCAATACTCAAACAAATTCAGCCACATTGTCTCACATGATGATGCTTTGTGGTGTTTACTTCTTTGTGCACAAGGACCCCAGGCACATTCCTGGGGATGAGTGTGCAGGTCCACCAGACTGAGTGGAGCATGAATCCCCTGCTTGTGCCTAGTCCTGTGGTCTTGGTGCCTACAGAGCCCTGACCTTGCCCTTGGGTCTGACCCTTCTGTCTGATTGCTTCTCTGCTCCACATGGTTGACCTGTCCTTCAAATCTGTCTCCCAAACCCATTGTACTGATTCTTTCTTTAGCTGTGTCAGTGTCAGTTGTAAAGCTCCTGTTATAGACACAAAAACCGGGACTTAGAGTATAGGGCCTTCCATCCCCACAGTCCTGGCTGGCTCCTTTACCTCAAACACCAGCATACAGTGTCCCTGTCTTTGCACTGGAAGGGAGAGCAGCTAGGCCTTCTTTCCTAGTCCCCAGGTGCACTGAGGTTGCTTCCTGGTTGGACTGTGGAAGCCCCCAGCTTCCTCTCTTTTGCAGTGACATGAGGTGTTCCTGCTAGACTGCTACACATTGCTCTGTGAGGGATTTCAGGTCAGGGCTGGTGGATTTGCATGTGGGTGGAAAATGCCTGCCACACTTCCGATGCTGCCAGCACCTCTTAGACCCAAGGGTGCTGTGATTCAGGGCTGAGCTTTTGCAGAGGGGTTGTGTCACTGTGGTAGTAGTAGTTACCAGTCCAAGGTAGCTTCTCTTACTCTCACAATGACACACGCCACCACAAAAATTTGGTCCCTGCTGATGTCTCTGTGCCTACTCTGGCTTCCTCATGACCGGCTCTGCAGTGGGGATTCTGTGTTTCTGCTGCGTTTCTGGGTAAGTTGGGGTTGATTCTGAGTCAGAACTCTGCAGGGGTCTCTTTTCATCCTAGGAGAGCCCAGGGCTACTTCTGGGTTTGGGAAGGGTTTGGCGGTGACCTCTCTGTCCTGTGCCTGGTTCCCTGGATCCCTACAGGCTGCTGGGTGGTTTTTTCTGGCATGTCTCAGGGCTTGAATCTCTCGCGTGTCCCTTCGCTGTCTCCTTTGGCTGCCATTGTTCCTAGCAGTTGCTGACCTTGCGTTTAGACCCCTGAAGTTTCCCACAGCCGGACTCTAGGTCCCTGGCCCTGGCACAAGTCGTTTGTCATCTTCCCTCTATGGGCCTGATAGACACATGGCCACCTTTTTCCTGACCCAGCATGAGGAGCCAACTCATGGGGCCCAACTCTGCACAAATTGGGCGTTTCCTGAGCACCAGCTCACTTGAATTCCCATGTGTGTGCCTGAGGGCCCAGATTTGCCTACAGGGGTATGGGAGCAGCAGAAGGCTCTGGTCTGGGGCAGCATCTCAAGGGGTGAAAGAGATCATGCTTGGCACTACCATGAGGGGCTGGAAGTTCTGCCTGCTTGACCTTGGCCATCACTCCCCTGTACCTTTCAGGTTGGGCACCAGTCTGTTGATGGTCAGTGCCTTTCACAGGTGTCTAGTTTCAGACTATACTGACCCCGTAGTCTCTGTCCTGCTATATGTGAGGACCCCACAAATGCCTGGAGAGTCACAGGACATATCTTAGTTACTTTTCTCCTTGCTGAAACAAAACACCTGACACCAAGAGGGCTGGGGATATAGCTCAGCAGCACAGGGGCCTGCCTAGCAAGCGCAAAGTCCTGAGTTTGATTCCCGGTACCAAATAAAAAAAAATACCAGACACCCAAAGTTAAAGGGGGGGAAAGGATTTATTTAACTTACAGTTTGAAGATGTTTCATTCCATAATTGGCTGGTTCCAAGGCAGGGTGGCATGGCAGACAGGCATTCCAGAGGAGAAACAGAACATGGTGGGCAGAAGGCAGCAAAAGAGGGAAGAGACAAGCCTCTTTCTCTCCCTTGCATTGAATCCAGGCTACCAGGATTAGGGAGGTGCTAAACCAGTCAGTGGACTGAGTTAGTAATGACCCAGCCTTAACCCTAACACCCTTAATCCTTAGCATTGCACCATGAATCAGTCATACGCTCTAGATTCATCTACCTCTGGAAAAAAACTCCACCTAGGACTGCATAAGGCTTTGGGGAGACATATAGACACAAGACATAACAGAGCACAAGCCTCTTGTTTGGTCTTCCATGGTGCCCAGCACGGGAGCACATGTTTGAAATTATTGATTTCCAGACTGGGTTGGGGTTGCCAAAGATCTACATAGCCGACTTTAGTTCAGGTGTTAGAAACAGATTTATTTTTGAAACTGCTCCAGGGAGACTGAGGGAGTGAGAAGATTTAAATCTGTAGAGTGAGGCTGGTGAACAAATGCCAGAGCTGCTCCTGGTATGTAGACAAGGTTGGTCTTGTCTGGGCTGGTTGGTTTGGATACTGGACGTCTGTCCTCCCTGGAGACTCAAGAAACAGGGTTGTGGCACACAGGCAATGCATTCTGATGTGTCAGGAAGGAGCTCTGAGGTCCTGGGATGTAGCAGACATGGACATCTGGGAAGGGTGGAAGATGAAGTCACAACTGAGGCCTTTTGAACAGATGCAGACACAGCCTGAGTGGGGGATTAGCTGGAGCCAGCAGCACTGTCTCTGAGTCCACAGGCATTTAGGGGCCAAGAGATTGGCAGCAACTTTCTACTGAGCCCTTGTGTCTGTCCAGGCTCATTGCAGGGCAGTTCTCTGTCCTCACCATGCAGCCCACCCTCCCAGGTCCTCCTTACCTCCTCTGAGTGATTTGCAGTCCCCACAGCAGTGCACTCCATCCTCTCAGCCTGAGCTTGCTTCCAGTGCTTAGTGAGTGACTGAGTCCCTCTGAGGGGCGGAGCTGTGTTGCTATGAGCTGTGCCCCATCCTTGCCAATTCTGGGGACATTTGCATTTTCCTCATCAGCTTATGTAAGTCTCTTGGATCTAAGCAGCATCCTCGCATCCTTTACACTCTCCATCAACAATTTTACACACTTACTATTTGTTTCTAAGTGTTGGTGGTTGTGAAATATAAATGACCTTTAAAGTTGTGACCCAGTTTTACAGATTATAGTTTGGCAGGAAGCCCGGCCTGCTACAGTCCATCCCAGCTAGATATAGCCTTAGTTTCTGTAGGGGCTAGCTTGGTGTCAATGCTTTCTGCCCATAAGTGAATTCTCCAAGCCAAGGCCCTCAGAATTCTGTGTACTGGGCCTCAGCAAATGTGTCTTCCTTTCTATCCTTGCAATTGAGGTTGCCATGCTCCCCAGTCCCCCTGAGCTGTGAGCAGTTACAGGTTACAGTGGTGCTCCCTGGGTGCATGTGTGTCCCTTGCACTGAACAGGCTGGTTTTCTAGCATTGTTGATGATGCTGGTACATGAGGTTCACAAGGTCACGCAGTAGGCTAACTCGTCTGCATTGCTGTGAGGGTGAATGGTTACCTGATGATGGAAATGAATGTTGTGTGAAGACTGTCTCAGTTATGGTTCCTTTTTCTTCTTGAGGTTATTTTAAGTTTTACTGATAGAAGGAAAACCCCAGCTAGCCACCATTTGTGTCACAATTTGTCCCTAGCCATTACCTTGTATGTCTTCTCTGCCCTCCCCAACACAGGAGCTACACGGTGGCCAGAAACAAATGGAACATGATGGTGGCCTGTGGGAGCAGACATTTGGGCAGATGCAGAGCCACAGAATGACAGGGCATTGCTGCAGGGATGCTGCAGAATGTGGCAGACAAAAGTGGAGATGACAGAGTTCCACAGAGCCTTGGCTTGAGGTGGAATCACCTCTCAGATGGCAGTAAAAGGGACATTGTCTCGGTTACTTTTTTCTCGCTGCTGGGACAAAATACCTGAC